ATTGCAAGTTTTTTATGCAGATCAAATATACATACATACTTTGCGATTGTTTTGAAATAAAGTAGAAATTTATCTCGCTATCATCTTAACATATTGCATAAAGATCAACATATTATGTAAACATATTATTTCTAATACGAGTCTGAAAAATCTAGAATATTATTTGACATGCCCGCGACTTTCTTTTATTTATAAGAAAAACAGTATATACAAGTACAACTTGTAAATATAAGATATGTACATTTTATTTTTTATATAAAAATACAAAATCCAAATTAACAAATATATATGTATGTAGATTTAAATAAATTCAATTTTCTAAATAATTAATATTACTTCCGAGTTCAAATAATTTAGTTATTTTGACTTGAATAAAAATCAGATTCAGACCTATTGAAATGTTAATAAAAAGAATTTATTTATTTAGAAAATCTTATGTTCTTTAGAATTTCTAGACATAAATTATCATTTAAAGGTAAACTGTGCGGAATAAAGCGACGAAATACATTTTTCTGCCGCCATATGTCGCACAAGTTGTCCAAAGTCTCATATGAAATTAAATTATTTATTAATTGCCAAAACATGTTATTATCTAGCTTCAGTTGATGCAAAATTTTAATAGAATTTTGTATTTATAAAAATTTCAGTGAAAAACTGATTTATCATACTCTAAATATAATATTGAATTTGTATAATTACAATATTAATACAATTATTATATAGTTTTATTAATTTATTAATGGAGATTGTAGAATCAAGATCAAATTCTCTTTTTCTATTAATCTTTCTTAGCATCAACGTCTCATTTTAAATGCAGTTTAACGTGTCTCTCTCTCTCTCTCTCTCTCTCTCTCTCTCTCTCTCTCTCTCCTCTCATTTCATGTTATTAATTATTTTAATTTTACTTTATTTTTTGTTTTGATTTGAATTTTATTTTGAACATTTTTTTTATTTAGTGCAAATGTAAAAGAAAATTATAAAGATAATTTTTAAAAATATCTATAAGATTTTTAATTAAGACCAAAATACATATTTAAAGAAATCTTTGAGATTTTCTGAAAAAATATCTGAAAATTTTTTTTATAAAATAATAGTTTTGGATCATGTACATACTATTTACATTACCGACTGTAACATTTATTGATTAAAATACACAACATATATATGGCCAGTGGTATAATCTAATGTAACCCATAAAACATTTTATTATTAAGTTAAACTTTTTAATCTTTCTTATTATTCGATGTCACAACAATGCAATTAATTGTAAGATAAAAAGGAAAGGAAACATTAAGAAGAGCGCAAAACAAAAATTTGAATTGATAAATTATTATGTCAGTAAAAATTGTATGATCTCTATTATAATATCATTGTAATCAATCATAACATTGTCCTATTTATAATGTATATAAAAAAAATAGTCCTGGTTAATCAAATCAAAACACTTGGAACATTGGTTTATTTAACTTTATATCCCAATACTTTGTTCAATTTTCAACAACATTTTTGCGGTTCAAAATCCTCGAAGCATCTCAAAAAAGTATACAAATGTATTTCCTTTCTATAAATCACAAAGTTCTATAAATCAATTTCGAAATTTTAAGATATCGATCTTTTCAATAACTTTAAACGTCATATAATGTCCTCTAGATTTTAATACTGAAATCAATATTTATCATGAGTGTACTAAAAAGATTTACATTTAATTAAAAAATTTTCATCATCTATAAATGGGTTTAAAATATGTCTATCGAAGCTGGAAATTTTTAAATGCTTAAATTAACTTTGCCTTTATTAAATTATGCTTTATACAATTTTACTTTTTCATTGTATAATGTCACAGTGGGAAAATAACATTAACAGCTTCAGTTGTATTGCACACTTACTACATTTAGTTAGACGAAGTATCTAACGTTTAACCAGACACACGTACAATTCGGACATTATTATTATATAAACTCCGTATCCTGGTTAAAAACGAGTGGTTTAGAAACTTTGCGGTCATCAAGCATTTGTCGTGATGAAGGATAATTGAGGAGCTGCTAGTATAAAGATATATATCATATTCGGCAATTCTCATTAATTGGTAGTTTTCCTCATTCTTACACTTAATACAGGTTATTACTAAAATTCGAATAAACTTAACTCGAGAGACAGCATCAACGAGACTTTTGAATTATAAAAGTAATATAATCTTTATCAATGAGAAATAAAATTTATAGACAGAATAAAATCAATGATACGTTAAAAATTGTTTTATAAATTTTAACAACTTTTTCGTAATTATAACTGCTTTTCAGGCTTAAAAAATCAAATTGTGTCATTAAAACGCTGTAAGAACACTGACCGGGCATCGTGTCTTCGATTAATATACGGTGGTCAACAAATTTGTGACAATTAAGCCACTTAATGATGCAGATGGCACACGTGGAAATGTCTATGACTTGTATGTCAACGCATTTAGCATTCACATACTTGCAAATATTTTTAAGAGGCTAAGTTAATTGGGGTTAACGGAGGCACGACTGTGCTACGTACACAACAGCTTTTGTACATTTGACGATAGGGTGTATAGTATTTTACGTATAATTCAGGATTAGATAGTATATCTGCCCAATAAAAGAAAATTAATTAGTTACTCTTTATAATTAATTTTGTAATTTATTTAATTAATGTAATTAAATTAAATTCAAATTTCAACAAGTGATACTAATATATTACTGTATCACTTATAAAAAAGTATTATAAAGTATTGTAAAAGTGTATTAATTATCAGTGTATATATAAGTAAAAGCTGAAATAATTAAATCAACAAGTCATATCTCAAATAATATCTGTCTTTATATATAAAAAACCGCTTTATACTACAGTTATAACATAATTTTCGTTAAAGTCTGCGTGTGGCTTAAATTTATCATCATATACTTTTGCTACATATCAACTTTATGCGATTGCAGTTTAATTTTACATAGATAAAAGAGTTACGCTAATTAAATAATGACATAAAAGCCGATTTTAATGCTTTTAGTATATTATACAATAGGTATAATATAAACGAAAAAAATTGCAATTTAATTTGCAATTTTTATTATTTACATAATCAATAGCCGAATAATAACTGAAAATAAAATATTAAAAATATATGAATACATACGTTATTAAACGTACACTTTGGTTCTAAAATATTCTTATCAAATATTTGTGCGCTTTTATTTGGAATATAGTATTCATGCATCTCTCTCCATTTAATCCTTTTATCGGAAAAATCCAGTGTAATTTTCGAATGCGTTTTATTTCTAACAAAAATGGTCTCATCTAAACAGATTGATCACTTTTCTTTAAAAGAATATTTTCTCCTTCTTGATTTTAAGTAAAGATCATTCAAAATTTAACAAAATATAAACTTATATCATTTTTTATATATTTAAAGTTTAATTAACAATAGAGTACAGTTTTTATTTTTAAGCATTTGGAACTTCAAAGCTTGACTTCGAAATCTTGATGGCATTTTCTCCCAAGAAGATTTCTTTAATTGTACAAGATATTTTTAAAAAGTTAAAAATTTTGTAAGTTATACTCATTAAACTGGATAACAGTGTTTAATCAAGAATCACACATTGTCAACAAAGTTTGTAATATTTAATTTTTAATTAACATAAATTTGCAAATCGATTCTTTTATAACGATTTTCTATTTTGTAAATTTTGAATGATGGTGATGGCATCTGTATTGACACAATTGTATCTCTATTGGCACAGCCATACGTAAAATGTACGTCTGCGGATTTCCTCGTTAGAATAATTTAATGATTCGCTATTGTATAGTTATATTTGTACCTTAAATTATTTGGCAAAGTGTATTCTTGACTAATATACGTCTGTTGCGATTCTGCTTAATAAACAGTCGTTATACGTATTATATAATAATGTGATATTATAGGATACAATAATTTTTTTTGTTTTCACATCGTGACGATAAATGACGAATAGACGCGCGCGGATAAATAACATTATCAAAATATAAAATTGTTTCTTACTTTAAAATATAATAATATTTCGATTTGCAAATCAATCAAATTCTGCAAAAGTGGAATCACATTTTTGTTGAGGTACTTTATAATGAGTTAAAAATGCTTGATGCCTTGATTTTGAGAATAATTCGATTTTTTAGAAACAAGAGTATGATTGTGCAATTATACGTATTAAAACAGCCAAACATTTTGCAATATTCTTTAATATAAATTGCTCGACTGCATTGAATAGCAGCTTGTCGAGGTTCTTCATTGAATAGCAGCATGTCGAGCTTATCAATTGCATTGCGAAAGACTTTCTCGAAGTAGTACTTCAAATAATGCTAATTCAAATATATCATCTCAGGCATAACACCACAATTTATAATGCCGTGCTGTATATGCTTGCGTCCGAATAAGACTTAAAGTGTCTTACGCTCTTTTTCAAAAATATTCGTTATATTGCAAATTTCAATAGTATCATAATTAAATGACCAGAAAAACGACTAAACGTGCTAAGACAATTGATAAAAAAATCACTTTTCTACTGGAAATTACCCCTTTATATATGTGGGTTATTTGAAAATATTTTAAGTTTAGTTTGTAAATGTGAAATTTGTGAATTTTACATTAAAAAATAGATAATAGAAAAAAAAATATTCATACGTATACAGATATGTTCAAGTTTTAAAAGAAAAAGTCACGTTGAAAGAAAAAGAGGCGCGCAAATTATTGAAAAGGCATCCGAGCAGGCGAACACAAACCCGTAATTAATATACTATGGTTAACATTACGACCGATCCATGGAAGATGCCATGGTCGTACTTCTATCATCTTGCGCGTAAAATTGCAGGTTGCAAACCCGATGTGTTTTCTTGCAGTATGTAACGGCGCCGCGTCCCGACGTGACGTTTGGCGCCGGCATCCCTCCTCTTCGGGTGGAGAACAAGCGACTTGAAAGACTTTTCTTGACTTGCGTCTCCGAGTGTGCGATAGTCGTTACGCTTGAGCCGTCGGTTTCGCACGATTTGCACAAGCGGGAGTACGGAACAAACGCATTTTAATTCTAAAGTTAAAACTCGCTCGCGAGTTAACGTGACATTACGCGCGATTGCGCGAATTCCAGACCTTGTCAACAACCGGATTTCCGAGTAAGCATTATTTATACGCGCTGCGTCGCTCAATCAGTACATATTAATGTATGTGACACAAGTATCGATATCTCTTTACAAATCCTTTTTTCCAATTTTCTCGCTATCCGATAAATTTATAGATAATTTTAAAATCTCTTGGATGCTGTCAATTATACTCCACAACAAAAGCATTCATTTTAATAAAAGGTTTTCTTACATATTTTTAAAGCAATCAATTTTTTTCATCGTAAAAACGTGCCTATTTAGAGAACATTTATTTTTACAATTTCTAAATTTGTTTTGCAACATTATAACATGCATATAATGGGCGAAAATTAAAGTTCTACTTGAAATTAACAAAAGGATATATGAATTTTGACAAAAGCATTTAATATCCATTGACATTTTTAAAGTTTGATTTGCAACAAAACCTCTTCTTGAATCGTTTCTGGTGTGTGTCGTGAAGAAATATCGTGAAGGAATGGTGTGTGCCTTGGAATTGCAGCAGCAGCATGTTTCTTGTAACCTTAATTATGCAGTTAAAAAATAAAAACTACAGATTAAGAGTGTCTACAAAAATGTACTTAAAACTGCAAATTTTTGTAACATACATCGCCTGTGATTTCCGCATGTAAATCATAATTAGGGTGCAGCAGGCATGATAACAGTAATAACGCGATAATAACAGCGAAGAAAAGTTGTATCTGTGAGAGGAGTCATTTGAACGCCGGCATTTTCTGTGCCCTTCATAACGGGGTTTGCTTCTTCCTTTCCATTTCTGTTTTTCTTTCTCTCTGTTTAGGTTCAACGTCCTGTCATTCTGTATATGACGTTAAGTTTAATACAAATATTACATTGATCGTCATTCTTCAACATTCACTTTCGCGAGACATTATTGTAAATATAAATTATTTAATTGTCGCGATATCAATATTATCACAACAGAAGATAGAAAATTGAGAATTTAATATTACGATATTAAAGACGATACAATAATGAAGATTATATATTAACAACGCTTGTTCAAAAGAGAAGAGAAGAGAGAGAGAGAGAGAGAGAAAGAGAGAGAGAGAGAGAGAGAGAGAGAGAGAGAGAGAGACAAGAACATTGTGAAACAATAAAACTATATTTAACTAACATCGTTAAAATATAAAACAAAGTGTGAAAAAATTGTGCTTTCTAATTATGTAAATCGTAGCTGTTGATTTCACTATTTTCTTTGCTAATGTATACTGATGATATAACTTATCTGATGTCTAAGCAAAACTGGAAATTATCTTCGCAATTTGCAAATGAGATAAAAAGCAGTGCTAATGCGACAAGGCTAGTAATTACTCATGTAAAGCATATATACATATGCATGATTTAAAGAGTACCCTGTCATCAGTTCTGCGATTTCTGTTCTCTCATTAGAAAAGTCGAAATGTACGTATAATCACGATGAATAATGATAATAATTAATTTGCAAGTTACGCTTATTTATAACTTGCAACATTTATACTTGAAACAATACGCTGGTTGTTGTCCGATTTTTATACAGTGCAGACTTTTGTCGAAACTGCAACTGCAAACTGCAACTTTAATATATAATAAATAATTGATTGATTAATAATTAATTTAATATTGTCGCAGGTACTATAATCAGAACACAGAAAAATTGAGTTTTTTTTTTCAATTAAATGGTTCTCAAGATAAATTCCTCTCTCACTAATTATTATTGCTCTATTATTATTTCTTTGCATGCTGTTTAATCCAGTTATTAGTATATAACGCAGATTGTGGAATGTCCGTTATTGCGAAAAACAATTTCTTGTTGAGCTGCAAGTAGGAGAGGTAGAAGAAGTAGGCGAGTAGGTGAAAGGAGGAGAAAAGAGATTAGAAATAGGAAAATACGATCATATTACACTACGTACGTACGCGTATACATATGTGAATTGTCTATTTTATATGTGTCAAAAAAATTATTGCTAAAGGGTAATGAAATCAACAACCAATATAATAATATCTTAATCTTTATGCAATACCTTCAATTCGTTATTTATGCCTTTTACTAATCAATATGTTACAGATATCCGAATAGAGAAAAAATAAAAACTTGCGGAAGGTGGCAGCAGACAGTGATATGAAGAAAACGAAAACGAATAATGCTACCGAGTATGGTACGTTTCTTGATATATGTATAAATTAAATTAAATTAATTAAAGGATCATAAATATTATAAAATTCCAATTCAATACAGTAATAAGTATTAAATTTATCTGCGTATATTAAATCAAATTTAATCACTTCGAAAAGTTTAAGAAAGCGAATGGAAAATAAAATCATATTTTTTTCAGTTAATTTCATAGATTTTAACAACTTATTTTAAGTCAAATTTTAAATGCAAATTTGTGGTTAGATGTGTGATTACTGCTTTTATTTCTTATACACTTCATTTGATCTTCTAATGTATTTTTTATTTTATTATGTCTTGATAACTTTTATGATAATATTTTATACATATATATATAACAATTTATGGTATTTTGAAAATAAATTTCATTATTATATATGCTAAAGATAAAATAAATATAATAATAGATAATCGTAGTATACTCGAAAAATCTGTTCATATATATACTACTTCAGTTTTTTAAATCTGCATTGAATAAAAAAAAATCTTGAACATTAACATATATTTGTTTACGTTTAAAGGAAAATGTAACATTTAAAACGTATGTTTTAAAGATTTTTTTGAAAGCATTTATGCTTTCAAATCATATATAGTAACGCAATCGAATAATAGATACGGTAAAACACGGAAAGTTGCGATTAACGATATCTTCCTGTTTTCGCGAGGCAAAAGTTGACTTCGAATTTCGTGAAAAATTTTTCTTTCTTTAAAATTTGAGCCATTTATTTCGGCTGTATATTTATAACAACGTTAGGATAAATTTGTATTGCACGAAGGAGACATGGCAGCTTGAAAGGCAAGACTGACCTTTCGAGTCGCCGAAGAAGGATGTCGATGTAAGTTGGAGCGCCCGAGATCGAAGGTTGTCTTCTTCATGTCTCGAGGTTAGCATGCATTTTATGGTTTACACATGCACTCTCTAGCGTTTTACCTTCTGCGCGAACTGGTTTCGTCGTCGTTTATGCCGCAATACATAATAATGTATCTATTTACTCATTATTACATTATATATATGTCGAACCTATACTCTCATGTCATAAGGCGATTGTCAGCAAAATGTTTACATCTGCATAGTTGTGAGATGCGTTTCGACTGCTTCAAATTCGCTTGCGCGATATATAAGATTTAATTTTGAAAATATGAGAAATATTACTTAATTAAAAATCTCTATGATTTCTTTTCTGATTGATTTTTATTTTTTATTTCTCAACAATATTCTTAAAAATTCAATTGTTTTTATTTGTATCTGCAGAGTATTAGGTATACCTGATTTATAAAATAAACCACAGATTCTGGAATAAACCTGATGGTTTACCACATTTTACATATTGTAAATCAATTTATATTATATCAAGAAAATCATTTGATGTTTACTCTTATATTGTTAGATCTCATTACTTGGAAATATTTATAAGAGAAAAAAAAGATGGCACTGTTTAACTTATAAATATTTATGAATCATTTGTCGTGAACAAGCGAGGTTAAGCTTTTTATTACGCAGCTGCTGCGTCTAACAATTGTAATTGCGAATTGATGATTTAATTTCGATTCTCTGGGTACTAAACGAGGAAAATCTCATAAATTGTTCTCCCCATCTAGTGGACATGTCATCTTAATTCTTGTTAGAGTTTCTATGTAAATGCGTAATTGTTTTCATACTATTACTCATGTTACCATTTTTCCGGAAACCGTTTTATGTATATCGATGATTATGAATTGTCAGTTGTGTAATTGAAGTCTGCATGACAAAGAGTTCTTATAAATGTATTTCCTATATGCAGATATATTTCAGTGTAAGTTAATGTTTAATCAACTTAATCAACCGTAATAAATTCGTAATGTTTAACCAATCTACACTCGACAGCAAAATTAAAGCATCACCCATTCTGATCACTAAAAATAGGCAAATTTTAAGAGAGTGTAACTTCGTCAAAAATGATCGTATCGGAATGATCAAAAAAGCATTTTAAAGCTTAAAGTCTCTACTTTCGACATCCATAATTCATTAAATTACTTACTGATTCTTTACAAAGCTGCACGGAT